GGACCCCTTACGCAACCAAAGAGCGGTCCCCCTTTTTTCCCCCTAGTTCAAAAATATTTGTAAGGATTCTGTATGGTCTGGTATGGCAAAAGGTTTATGGGAGTAACACCATGAGTTACCACACAGGGTGACACCAACCCTAATGATGTCACTTCAAAAATGGAACGACTTTCTGCGAACCCATCCCTTTAATGGAACGACTTTCTGCCAACCCATCCCTTCAGGTTGCTTTACTCTAATGATCTGAGCCAAGGAAGTTGTCTTACTGTGGAAGAGGCAAGCACACATTTTGGGATTGATCTATGCCAGTGGTTTACAAGAACGAAAATATGGTCCTTGGCCTCACCATGACTACACCATTGGCTTGACACCACATGGCAAACGAGAGCGACTGGTCTTGTGAAACCCTCTTATAGTTCCAAGGCAACGAGGATGACAGGAGGGGAGAGGCAGACTACCCACAAAAGATTACTATTACCACATCAGCTCTAGATTATTAAATATGGTTTTCTGTGGGCAAGCAGATGGGGACCTTGTTGTTGTTCATTCGTTCAGTCGTTTCCGACTCTTCGTGACTTCATGGACCAGCCCACGCCAAAGCTCCCTGTCGGTCGTCACCACCCCCAGCTCCTTCAAGGTCAATCCAGTCACTTCAAGGATACCATCCATCTATCTTGCCCTTGGTCGGCCCCTCTTCCTTTTTCCTTTCATTTCCTCCAGCATCATTGTCTTCTCTAAGCTTTCCTTTCTTCTCATGATGTGGCCAAAGTACTTCATCTTTGCCTCTAATATCATTCCCTCCAATGAGCAGTTGGGCTTTCTTTCATGGAGAATGGACTGGTTGGATCTTCTTGTGGTCCAAGGCCCTCTCAGCACTTTCCTCCAACACCACAGTTCAAAAGCATCTCTCTTCCTTCACTCAGTCTTCCTTATGGTACAGCTCTCACATCCATAGATGACTATGGGGAATACCATTGTTTTGACTAGGTGGATCTTTGTTGCCAGTGTGATGTCTCTACTCTTCATTATTTTATCAAGATTGGTCATTGCTCTCCTCCCAAGAAGGAAACACCTTCTGATTTCCTGACTGCAGTCTGCATCTGCAGATGGGGACTACTAGATGGCATCTGTTCTGTATCAGAAAATAGAGCTGATGTGGTCTATCCAGTGCAATTTTCTGAATCAGCACCTCACATAACCAAACTAAATCTAAAGTTCACCAAAAACTGATTCGTAACCCTTTTGGTACTAATGTTGGAGTGTGGTCTCTGGTCAAAGTGGTCCCTGGTCAAAAATAGGTTGGGAACTATTGATCTATGCAAAGGCCAATTCTATGAGAGCCCATCTAGACATACCAGAAACCACCACTTTGAGTCTCCTGGTGGAGAGAAAAGGCAGAGTATAAATAAATATTAAAAACAACAATGATGATAATAATACTGGTTTGCACAGGTCTCCAATTATGTAGGACTAACTCTATAAGATATCAGTATAGGTTATCTTTCTAAGAGTGTACAAAATAATGGTTGCTGTAGCAGTCTAGATACCAAAGCAGTCGTAAGTACTTGTTGTTGTTCATTCGTTCAGTCGTCTCCGACTCTTCGTGACCTCATGGACCAGCCTACGCCAGAGCTCCCTGTCGGCCGTTACCACCCCCAGCTCCCTCAAGGTCAGTCCAGTCACTTCAAGGATGCCATCCATCCATCTTGCCCTTGGTCGGCCCCTCTTCCTTTTGCCTTCCACTTTCCCCAGCATAATTGTCTTCTCTAGGCTTTCCCCTCTCCTCATGATGTGGCCAAAGTACTTCAATCTTGGCGTCTATGCTCCTTCCCTCCAATGAGCAGTCGGGCTTTATTTCCTGAAGTATGGACTGGTTGGATCTTCTGGTGATCCAAGGCACTCTCAGAACATTCCTCCAGCACCACAGTTCAAAAGCATCTATTTTCCTTCGCTCAGCCTTCCTTATGGTCCAGCTCTCACATCCGTAGGCTACTACGGGGAATACCATTGCTTTAACTATGCAGATCTTCGTTGCCAGTGTGATGTCTCTACTCTTTACTATTTTATCGAGATTGACATTGCTCTCCTCCCAAGAAGTAAGCGTCTACTGATTTCCTGGCACAGTCTGCATCTGCAGTAATCTTTGCACCTAGAAATACAAAGTCTGTCACGGCCTCCACGGTTTCTCCCTCTATTTTCCAGTTGTCAATCATTCTTGTTGCCATAATCTTGGTTTTTCTGACGTTTAGCTGCAACCCGGCTTTTGCGCTTTCTTCTTTCACCTTGATTAGAAGGCTCCTCAGCTCCTCCTCGCTTTCGGCCATCAGAGTGGTGTCATCTGCATATCTGAGGTTGTTAATGTTTCTTCCAGCAATTTTCACCCCAGCTTTGCATTCATCAAGCCCCGCACATCGCATGATGTGTTCTGCATACAAGTTAAAAAGGTTGGGTGAGAGTATGCAGCCTTGCCGTACGCCTTTCCCAATCTTGAACCAGTCTGTTGTTCTGTGGTCAGTTCTGACTGTTGCTACTTGGTCCTTGTACAGATTCCTCAGGAGAGAGACAAGGTGGCTTGGGATGCCCATCCCACCAAGAACTTGCCACAATTTATTATGATCCACACAGTCAAAGGCTTTAGAATAGTCAATGAAGCAGAAGTAGATGTTTTTCTGAAACTCCCTGCCTTTCTCCATTATCCAGCGGATATTGGCAATTTGGTCTCTTGTTCCTCTGCCTTTTCTAAACCCAGCTTGAACATCTGGCAACTCTCGCTCCATGTATTGCTGGAGTTTTCCTTGCAGGATCTTGAGCATTACCTTACTGGCATGAGAAATAAGTGTCACTGTACAAAAGTTTGAGCATTCTTTCGCATTTCCCTTTTTTGGTATGGGGATATAAGTTGATTTTTTCCAGTCTGATGGCCATTCTTGTGTTTTCCATATTTGCTGGCAAATGGCATGCATCACCTTGACAGCATCATCTTTTAAGATTTTAAACAGTTCAGCTGGGATCCGTCGTCTCCTGCTGCCTTGTTGTTAGCAATGCTTCTTAAGGCCCATTCAACCTCACTCCTCAGGATGTCTGGTTCTAATTCATTCACCACACCGTCAAACTATCCTCAATATTATTATCCTTCCTATACAGATCTTCTGTATAGTCTCGCCACCTTCTCTTGATCTCTTCAGCTTCTGTTAGGTCCCTGCCATCTTTGTTTCTTATCATACCAATTTTTGCCTGAAATTTACCTCCAATATTTCTAATTTTCTGAAAGAGGTCTCTTGTCCTTCCTATTCTGTTGTCTTCTTCCACTTCCATGCATTGCTTATTTAAAAATAGTTCCTTATCTCTTCTGGCTAACCTCTGGAATTGCGCATTTAACTGGGCATATCTCCCCTTATTCCTGTTTCCTTTTGCTTTCCTCCTTTCTTGGGCTACTTCCAGTGTCTCAGCAGACAACCATTTTGCCTTCTTGGTTTTCTTTTTCTTTGACGTACTTTGTTGCCGCCTCCTGAACAATGTCGCGGACTTCTGTCCATAGTTCTTCTGGGACTCTGTTTACTAAATCTAGTCCTTCAAATCTGTTCTTCACTTCCACTGTATATTCGCTAGGAATGTTAGTGAGATCATATCTAACTGGTCTGTGTATTTTCCCTGATCTCTTTAGTTTTATTCTAAATTGGGCAATAAGAATTCGTGATCTGAGCTACAGTCAGCCCCAGGTCTTGTTTTCACCGACTGGATGGATGTCCGCCACCTTTGGCTGCAAAGGATGTAGTCAATCTGATTTCGGTGTTGACCATCTGGTGAGGTCCATGTATAAAGCCGTCTTTTAGGTTGTTGGAAGAGAGTATTCGTTATACACAGCGAGTTTTCCTGGCAAAATTCTATCAGCCTGCGTCCTGCTTCATTTTGTTCTCCCAGACCATGCTTGCCTGTGATCCCTGTTGTCATTTGACTTCCCACCTTGGCATTCCAGTCTCCTGTAATGAAAATAATGTCTCTTTTTGGTGTATTATCCAGTAGGTCCTGCAGATCCTCATAGAACTGATCTACTTCTGCTTCTTCAGCAGCTGTGGTTGGGGCGTATATTTGGATCACTGTAATGTTGAAAGGCTTTCCTTGCACTCGAATTGAGATCATTCTGTCATTTTTTGGGTTGTATCCAAGCACCGCTTTAGCGAATTTCTTATTAATTATGAAGGCTACTCCATTTCTTCGCTGTTCCTCTTGTCCGCAGTAGTAGATCTGGTGGTCATCTGATGTGAAGTGGCCCATTCCAGTCCACTTCAGTTCGCTGACCCCCAGAATGTCTATCTTTAGTCTTGACATCTCGCCAATAACAACATCCAGTTTGCCCTGGCTCATAGATCTTACATTCCAGGTTCCTATGGTGTGTGGATCTTTAGAGCATCGGATTCGTCATGCACCTCCAGCACCGTCGGCCACTAGCCTTCCTTTCAGCTTTGGTCTAGCTGCGTCCTCACATCTGGGACTAGTTGAACTTATCCTCTGCTCCTCCCCAGTAGCATTTTGGCCATCTTCCGACCTGGGAGTCCCATCTTCCAATGGCATACCGACATATCTCTGGTTGTATTGGTCCATTTAGTTTTCTTGGCAAGGATACTGGGGTGGTTTGCCATTGCCTTCCCCAGGGATCACGCTTGGTCTGACCTCTCTGCCACAACCGTCCCGTCTTGGGTGTCCCTTCACGGTTTCGCTCATGACATCATTGAGGTGCTCAAGCTCCAGCGCCCCGACAAGGCGGTGATCCTTTGCTGGAGGTCGTAAGTACTAACAGCATAATATTTCTTCAGAATAATCTGGTGGTGTCCAGTTCCTTCCAAATGTATTGAGAATGTAAACCTTTAAAGAGCAAAATGCTTCCTTCATTGTTCTTGGGCATTCGTCATGCAAAGGCGCAGACACTCTTTGAATCCTTTGGGGCTCGTCTGGATGCTCAGAAGGACACCGTGCTAATTCTCACTCTTTTGTCTCTTTAGCTTAGATACCAACACGGGCTGGGAACGCCGGATTTAAGGCAAACGCTCCCCAATCTGAAAAACTTCCTCGAACATGGCCTCATGGTCAGATGGTAAGTAATACTGACTTCATCCAGAGTGGGTAGAAATGAATGATTTTAAAAGGAAAATTGGCTGCTGTAGTACATTACATAGCTTTGCACGTACTTAGCAGAGGTGCTAAGAAACCTTGTTAGTGAATTGTGAAAATATGTAATGGTAAGAGCTATTCAGTGATGGTAAGAGCTATTCAGCAGTACAATATGCTGCCTCACAGTGTGATTGAATCTCTTTCTCTAGAAGAGAGCTTTATGGCCATCTGTTGTGAGTGCTTGGATTGTGTGTTCCTGCATGGTGAGGGGTGTGTGTGGACTGCATGACCCTGGTGGTCTCTTCTGGTGCTGTGATTCTATATCAGTCACTTTACCAGCTCCTCTGTATAGTAACATCATGGCAGCCCAGAACTACTCAAGTTCTAATTCTTAACTTAATGAAGAGTTAAGTCTCCAACAGGATCCTCGCCATCTTTGCCATACTTACAGACTCATAAAAATGAACTACAATTTTACATCATTGTATAAACAAATACACAGGAAGTCTTGAAAACCTGTGTTTCTATTTCATAAAATGATAGAACTAATAGATATATCTTCACATTATATGTAAGTAGTTTTGTAATATCTTGATTTCTATTTGAACAGGTCGACTTGGCTATATTTGGAATAATTAATTCAGTTATTCCAAATAATTAAATTATTTGGAATAATTAGAGTGTGGTGGAGGCTTCTTCTTTGGAAGCTTTTAAACAGAGGCTGGATGGCCATCTGTCAGGGGTGATTTGAATGCAATATTCCTGCTTCTTGGCAGGATGGGGTTGGACTGGATGGCCCATGAGGTCTCTTCCAACTCTTTGATTCTATGATTCTATGATTCTAATTGGAATGAAATTCTCTTTAATCCTCACAAAAACAATTCTGTTTAATAAGAGTCACAGTATGTCTATTTCTTATAAGAAAAAAAACTTCAAGTTAACAAAATGGAAGTTCAACAGGGACAAATGCAAGATACTCCACTCAGGCAGAAAATATGAAATGCAAGGATATAGAATGGGCGACGATGCCTGGCTCGATAGCAGTACATGTGAAAAAGATCTTGGAGTCCTCGTGGGGAGGAAGGGGAACATGAGCCAGGAATGTCATGCCAATTGGATCTTGGCCTGCATAAATAGGAACCTAGTGTCTAGATCTAGGGAAGGTGATGCTACCCATGCTCTATTCTGCTTTGGTCAGACCACACCTGAAATCACACTGGGTCCAATTCTGGGCACCACAATTGAAGAGAGATGTTGACTCTAAGCTGGAATGTATCCAGAGAAGGGTGACTCAAAAGGATCAAAGGTCTGGAGAACAAGCCCTATGAGGAGTGTCTTAAAGAGCTAGGCATATTTAGCCTGCAAAAGAGAAGGCCAAGAGGAGACATTATGACACCCATGGATAAAGATGTGAGGAGAAGTCATAGGGAGGAGGGAGCAAGCTTGTTTTCTGCTGCTCTGGAGACTAGGGCATGGAACAATGGCTTCAAACTACAAGAAAGGAGATTGCATCTGAACATGAGGATGAACTTCCTAACTGTGAGAGAGAACTGTTCAGCAGTGGAACTCTCTGTCCCAGAGTGTGGTGGAGGCTCCTTCTTTGGAGGCTTTTAAACAGAGGCTGGATGGCCATCTGTCAAGGGTGCTTTGAATGCAATTGTCCTGCTTTTTGGCAGAATGGAGTTGGACTGGATGGCCCACAAGGTCTCTTCCAACTCTATGATTCTATGGTCATATCTTCAGTTATAGTTTTACTAATATACTAATCTTTATTTTCTGGAGCTAAATAGGCTTGCTTAAAACCTCTTCTCACCACATCTGCAAATGTAAATAGTATTGTAATATACTATTCCGTATTTTTGGTCCCCAATACACCATTTTATCCTGATCACTCCTGTGCTGTTCATTTCCTTCACGGTCTTCCTCACATCTTTTTGTTATGTCTATTTTATCATTGTTTCTGTCTTTATCTGATGTTTTGCTCCATCCCTTTATCTCCTCTCTATTCCTACTTGTAATCTGTTGTATAAACGTCATCTCCTCCCAGTCCATACATTATTCTGGAACTTCTTTCTTTCCTTTTTCCCCATCTCTGTGTGTTTTCCTCCTGTTTCCCCAAACCCTTTAGTCTGTCCTCTGCTAGGACTGACCACCATCCAGATGCTGTCTCCCCTACTTTCAAGAAGAACTTCATGGCATAGAGAAGACCAACCTGGCCCTGCTTCGTCAGCCAGAGAAGCTGCTGCAGGTTTCCACCTTTCTTCCTTAGAAGAACACTGAACTCCAGTTGCCCTGAGGCATGCTTCAGCCCTATCCATCAGCCACATGGCTAGATGTGCTGGGACAGAATATGGCAGTGGTTCTCAACCTGTGGGTCCCCAGATTTTTTTTGGCCTTCAACTCCCAGAAATCCTAACAGCTTGTAAACTGGTTGGGATTTCTGGGAGTTGTAAGACCAAAACACGGGGACTCATAGGTTCTCAAAGTAGTCATCTATGTGTTTTGGACTTCAGTTCCCATGATTCCTAACAGCTGGTAAGCTGGCTGGGATTTCTAGGACTTGAAGTCCAAAACATGAAGAAGACCAAAGATTGAGGACCAATGGTGTAGGGTATTTGTCCATCAAGAGGATATTACCTCAGCTTGTAAGCAGATTTGAGAATTGCTTCATAGAATCATAGAATTGGAAGAGACCACAATGATAAGCCAGTCCAACCCTTCTTCACAATGCAGGAATATCTAATCAAAGCACTCCTGACAGATGGCCATCCAGCCTCTGCTTTAAAAACTCCAGAAAAGCAGACACTACCATACAGGCAGTGTATCCCACTGTCAAACAGTTCCTACTTTCAGGAAATTCTTCCTAATTTTCAAGTGAAAGCTTTTTTCTTTCAGTTTGAATCCACTGCTCTCTGTCCTAGTCTCCAGAGCTGTGGAAAACAAGCCATTGCTTAAGATATTTAAACATTGCTATCATGTTCTCTCTCAACCTTCTCTTCTCCAGGTTAAACATCCCTACCTTCCTAAGCCACTCCTCATAGGGATTCATGGTTTCTAGACCTTTAGTTGCCTTCCCCTGGCTACATTCCAGCTTGTCAATATCCTCCTTGAATTGTGATGCCCAGACCCAAAGGTCCCTTGATCCTAGGCACTCTGCTCCTATTACTGCAGCCTAGAATCACATTTGATTGAAAGGCAACATATCCCTCTCCAAAATAACATAAACGTACAGGGCATGGCTTTCCATATTGTTGAATTCGGGTCTCTGACTTGAAGTAGACGGTTGTCCCTGGGTGCTTCCTAGAAGTGGCATGTTCTCATTATCAAGACAAAACACATTCTTTGCCTGGCTAATATTTCAAAACACGTGTGGATATTAACCACCCTTCTCGGGGACTATCGCATTTGCCCCCTAGGCATATCAATGCCTCATTTCTTTCTCACCTCCAAGGCTCAGATAGGCCCGATGATTCTGAACAGTACCTCCCGGTACTTCCTTACAGTACAAATGGTAATGAGGCTTTTCATAGATCCCTCCTCAAGGGAAGAATTAGGAGGCCGCGTTTCCAGCGCGGGCAGCCAGGCGCAAGCATGCTTGACTGAGAGAGCCCCGTTCAGATGTGCAACCCTGGAATGTGTGCATGACAGCCTTCGTGCACAGATGGTTAAATTGATATCCACAGGGCCCAAGCGAATACAACTATGGCGGGTTATGTGCTGCAGGTAGGTCATACTATTGACTGACCAAAGTCTTTTCATCCACATGAGTGACAAAGCATTGCCAGATGCCCCCAGCCCTGGTCAAAATGGCAATTACAGCTAAGAGTTATGGCGGCTTAGGTGCTGAAGATAAGTCATACTATTGACTGACTGAAGTATCTTCATCCACATGAGTGACAAAGCATTGCCAGATGCCCCCAGCCCTGGTCAGAATACAATTGGGGAGACTATGTCCCCCTATGAGCCTTCTCCATTACAATTCTTCTGTGACTTATCTGGATACAAAAGTACAAATCCTAGTGGGACTGGATGGCCCACGAGGTCACTTCCAATTCAGTGATTCCACGGTTCTATGATACTATTCCCAATTTTATGGTTGTGAAGAGTAGAGACATCACACTGGCAACAAAGATCCGCATAGTTAAAGCAATGGTATTCCCTGTAGAATCAATCATAGAATCAAAGAATTGGAAGAGACCTCATGGGCCATCCAGTCCAACTCCCTGCCAAGAAGCAGGAATATTGCATTCAAATCACCCCTGACAGATGGCCATCCACCCTCTGTTTAAAAGCTTCCAAAGAAGGAGCCTCCACCACACTCCATAGTAGTAACTATGGATGTGAGAGTTGGAAGGCTAAGTGAAGGAAGATAGACGCTTTTGAACTGTGTTGTTGGAGGAAAATTCCGAGAATGCCTTGGACCGCGAGAAGGTCCAACCAGTCCATACTCCAGGAATGCTCATTGGAGGGAAGGATATTAGAGGCAAAGATGAAGTACTTTGGCCACATAATGAGAAGACAGGAAAGCTTGGAAAAGACAATGATGCTGGGGGAAATGGAAGGCAAAAGGAAGAGGGTCTGACCAAGGGCAAGATGGATGGATGATATCCTTGAAGTGACTGGATTGACCTTGAAGGAGCTGGGGGTGGCCATGTCCAACAGGGACCTCTAGCGTGGGCTGGTCCAGGAGGTCACAAAGAGTCAGAAGTGACTGAAAGAATAAACAACCTCACCTCCAATTTTGTGATAAACCAGTCTCCTCCAGAACCCCAAGAATCATGTGGGCAAATGAGAAGACTTCACTGATGCATTTTTACCTTATTCCAGAATTTCAGGGCAAGTTACAATGAGCAATTTGACTATTTGTCCCCATCCCCAAAAAAGAACATTCTGGCCCACAAAATCTTATGCCAAAATAAATATGTCTTAAGAATGCTTCCAGATGAAGCTTTTATTGTGCAATCACTCCATCTTGTTCGTGGA